GCAGCAGAACCAGATGCAGCAGAACCCGATGCAGCAGAAACAGGTGCAGCAGAACCCGATGCAGCAGAACCTGATGGAGCAGATCCAGATACAACAAATCCAAATGCAGCAGATCCAGATGCAGCAGAACCAAATGCATCAGATGCAGCAGAGCCAGATGCGCCCGATGCACCAGATGCCACAGAGCCAGATGCAGCAGAGTGACAGGCAACCACAGAAGCAGCCAGACCGATTAACGATTATCCCTCATCCCATCATTAAGCCGCCACCTCAGCCACTCCTGAGCCCGATGAACTTTCTTCAGTCCCAGACGCCTTCCAGCAGCCAGGGTCCAGCAAACAGGCCAGTGTCCAAGGGGCTGCCAGCATCGGCTATGATGTACGACTATGCAGCGGCCTCACCAAAAGTCTTTCCACATACCTGTTCTCTGTGTTTCAAAGAATGCTCGCAGATGAAGGTGAGTAGAAGAATGCACTCTCCCTATAACAATTAGTTTTCTTTTAATTCACATCAGATCATTTAAAACAGGTTCATGTTTTGTTTGAAAGTTATGTAAATATCTGACGGAAGTGTGGGGATGATACTTTGTCTTTGAACGTGAATGATTAATTGTTCCTTGAGTTTTAATTGATCAGTGGTTACGCAGATAAAACATGGATGTCACCTTATTCATGTACTCCAAACTGAATATTTTTGTTTTTGAGATGTTCACTGTCCCTTTTTTTTGTAATATTGGTTGTTATTTTGGAGCCAAGCTTCCATTTTTTGAGGTATTGTTGATTATTCTTGTTTTCCAACATATTTCAGTCGTTACTAAACATACAATGAACGTGAAGCCCAACGGTAAACATTGCACTTCATCAATCAAACATCAGCAGAGAAATGTTTTTCTTTCTCGCTCATCTGTTCGATTATTTTCCTCTTTTTGGGACATCGCATTTCACATTTTGAGAACTCAATGAAGGCGCACCGGCTTCTTCCTTCCGCCAGTTTCCACATCGACCTGCCTTTACCCGGATGGAGATGTGTCTGCTTTGGGTTTTGTCCTGATCCTTTCTCGATTGAGACCTGTGCAGAAGATTTGATTTTACGCAAGACTGAAGAGCCAGACATTGCAGAATCCAGAGCCCCAAGAAGAAGACCTTTTATTTTGGTTGACACTGTAACTGTGATTCCTCATTTGTCATATTACTTGATAAAGATTTGTTGCCTTTGAAACCAAGCTGCATAAAAACAGCTGTAACTAGAATGTCACTTATTGACTTGCATACCTCCGCCAAGGCCCAACTTAACTGAAATCAAGCTGCACGAAATTTTACACACTCATAGAATTTTGTCATCAAGATCCATGAATTATTCTTTGGGAAATTGATGAAAATCTAAAGACAAACCAACAAAGAAACAGACGGGAGCAAAAACATAACCTCCTTGGTGGAGGTACGTAAGGTTCTAATATCCTAAAGATCAGGTGCCACATATTTGTCTATATATCCATTTAAAGCAGCACAATGTGAATTTTGCAAAGCAGCAGCGACAAGTCACTCTTTGTTCTGTTGGCCCCTGAATCCAAGCAGTTAAGCTGTTTTCATGTTTTTCTATCAGCTCCCGAGACCGAGAAATAAAGGTTTCAGTCGTGTTGACAGTTCTGTCGAGTTTTTCAGCTTGGGTGCTCGGTTCTTATTGTGTTAATATATTTGTCCACATTCAGGTGTTATGTTTGTTTCATGTTCAGTTCTATTCGTCAAATAAGACATGAATTACACACAACTTTTTATTTACTCCCCGAGCTGTTTTTTTTGAATACGTGCATATGAACATTTATAAAAATTGCCTGTTAAACATGAAAACTGAGGGATAGAATTGGACACTTACAAGAGGAACGTCTGTCAGGCCGCCGTGAGCTTGAGTAATCAGAGAATTTAATATTTAAGATGATATCATTTGTGAGGAGGTCTGATAAAATGTTGTTTGTTTTTTTTTTGTTCTCGTTGCCAGGATTGGATCTCCCACCAGAACACTAGTCTTCACCTTGAGAGCTGCAGAGTCCTGCGGACACAGTTAGTTTTTCTTTTGAATTTTGTGAAGGATTTTCCAACAGAAAGGGAGAAGCATCTTAGGATTGTTTGTCTCTGATTAGGGATGTCACTATACCAGAAATGTTGTAGTCGATACAGATACCTTGAAATTTCCATGATTCTCGATACCATGGAAAAAAAAACACACACATTTGAAAAAACAACACTTCATGTAACAAGTGTTTCATTTTTCCACAGATACCCTGATTGGAACGGTGACATCGCACTCAAACCCAGGTACATTTCCTCAGACATGTAGAAGCCGAACCAGTTGTACACTGGTGACGATTTTTGGAAATTTTCTTTGCCTGTCAATAACCCTATGATTCCCTCTGTTCTTTTCAGGGATGCAGGGAAAGACGGCAAGTCCTCGTCCTCAGCCTCTCCGCAGACTTCCCAACAGCGTCACAAGAAAAATAGTCACGGAAGCCACTCCCGCTCCCGCAGCCCTCGTCGGCACTACAGCTCGGAGGGTAGAGGAGAGAAACGCAGCCGATCGCGATCACCGCGCAGCTCCAGATATATTCACAGGTTTGAAAGACACAAATGATTATAGCAATAATATATACATAAAAAGATGTTCCTTCATTTGAAGTTAATTTAACAAATCTCAGTGAAATGCTATATTGTTTTAAAACTGACCATTCCTTTAATCAACCGTTAAAATTATTTTTCCACACTTTAGTTCCCGGTCTCGTTCACGTTCTCCACGATATGACCGCCATCGGTCGCGTTCAAGGAGCCAGGAGAGGAGGGGGAGAAGAGGTGAAAGGTCCCCGCCAAAGAGGAGTGACATGAGAAGGTCCCCTCCGAGGAGGACAAACGTGAAAAAGTCCCTGCCATTGAGAACTGACGTGAAAAGGTCCCCGCCAAGACGGAGTGATGCGAGAAGGTCCCCACAAAAGAGGAGCCGAGAAAGACGATCGTCCTCAGAGAGGTCCCCTCAACAGAGAAACAGCAGTACAGAGAGACTGGCTCAGAAATTCCTGCAAAACACAGGTTTGACAAAATCTTTTACATCAGAACTTGAAAAGCTGATAGATACGACTTCAGCTGAGTAGTAAAGGAAACTGTGTTTATAACTTCATAGACTGTATAAAAAGACATGACAGCTCCCCAAAAGTTAAGCCAAATCCCCCTGGTGGCTGGCTGCAGTATCAGCCATAAAGCTAGCCTCCTCCGTGTTGGTAGATTGGACAGTGACCAAACTAAAAAGTCACATTTTATGGACATTTTCTGGAGTTTATATTTAAAAACCGCCATTAAGAAAAATTATCTCCCCAGTTTCTTTTACAAGAACTCTGACGTAAAATATTCCAGAGAAAAATCCACAGAGCAGGAATCAGTTAAGAATGACACGAAATTTATCGCTGTAACTTATTAAAAAAATCAACACAGTGGAAACTTTCCTCTGACACTGTTTGTCACCTTTGTCTCTCTAGATGTCCAGTCTCTGTCCAAACAGACTGACCTGGAGGCTGTGGTTAAAACTCTACTCGCTAAGATAACCAAGATGAATTCTTCTTCCTCGTCGTCCACTCCGTCGACCAAAGGAGGAAACAATTCGACGTCTACTCCCTCTGCTGGAAGAAAGGGCAACTCCTCTGCTGCCTCTTCATCATCGTCCTCCTCGGTAGCAAAGAAGAAGATGACATCATCAACCAAGGCCAACCTGCAGAAGAGTGATGCAAGTGTTTCCACAAAGACTCAGGTTGTTTGTGTTTTAGCATCATGGACATTTAGCAACTGTCTATAGCTGGAAATCAATTTTCCTGTTCCCTTTGCCTGGACACTGAGGCTCAGATGCATTTTTTGATCTTCGTACTATTTGTAAAATTCAACCTGTTTCAGTCTATAACAACAAAGTCTCCGCGTTTCTCTCTCAGTCAGGTACTTCTACATCTTCACCCTCAACCCAGGTGAGGCTGGAAGGGGTTCTTAGTAGTGTCGCCCACAGTGAAATGGTTACTGCGATGGAGCAGTATGGAAAAGTTGAATCAGTCGTAATGCATCGGCAAAAACTGCAGGTACGTATAGCAAGAGTTTGTGTTTGTGCTTGTCATTCCAACAATTGAATGTCTCTTCATAATATTTAATATATACTGTGCTGCCATTGGTTGATTTCATTCTGCTGTTTGGTATAAATGCTTGAATACTAGCATTGAGACAGAGATACAGTTAAAAGTGAAGGATAACGACAGCTCTCCATAAGTGAAACCAATCAGTCGTCCATCTTTATTTGCAGTCTACGATATAACCCTGGTCATTTCTGTTTCACAGCGGCTGAGTGCCGTATATTCTGGCATCATTTTCTGGCTAAAATGCTGATGACATTTGTTATGTTGACGTCAGAAAAGTGGATAACTTCATAATCGCAACAAGCTCATTGGCAACTGATGGAAACAAGTCCTGGTGGTCGTGGTAACCCAGAGTCGTGTGTGTTTGTGTCATGTAGGCGGTGGTGAGTTTTGAGAAAGAGGAAGACGCTGAGAAACTGAGGAGCTTAAAGAGAATAAAAATGAGAGGATTCCCCGTCACTGTCATCAAAGAGGGGGTATTACTGACCAAAAAATACTTGGACTGTCTCAACAGCAGACATGTAATTATTATATACAGCGTCTTTAATCAGGTGAATCTAAAATAAGTCTGATTTGTTTGCAGGATACTGAACCAAAGAAGATTCCTCTGAAGTAAGACATACTTCACTCTCACTGTTTCTATGTTTGTCTCTTTAGTAGCAGCAGGAGACAGGACACAATGTTTAAATTCCACATCTATACAGTTTATTGTCTATTTACACATGACAAGAATAAAATAAATAATACAAACTACAAAGAATGATTTTATTTTCTGTAAAATCTACAGGTATTGTTTCCACTTCCTGCATTTGGAATTACATTTTATTATTTGAAATTGAGCGATTCCTAACAAGCATTATATTATAATTATTTCAAGGACAGTACGATTTTACATTGAAGAACATGTTAAACATTCAAACCACAATCTTGAGCCTTCATTTCTCTGTTTTCTCTTGCTTGACCATTGTTCACAGAAAACCGTCCGTTTCCAGTGTCTCCACATCTCAAACCTCTAAATCCACAAAACCCACGACCTCCAGAAAAGTTCCCTCTACATCTCAGAAAACTTCACTCACTCGTCCAAAAAAGCCTTTATCTTCAGCCTCTGGAAACAAAGGAACAACAACAGGCAAATGTCAGAAAACAGCTGTTAAAGGCTCATCCAGTGTCACTAAAGCAAAAGTCTTGGTTTCCAAACCAGGGACTGTCTCGTCTGCACCTATCGTCAAAACGGCAACATCTGAGATGCAGCAAGAAAAGACAGTCGAGGTCAGTAAATCAAAAAAAGAGACTGTTGCTGGACCAACTAAGGTCTCAGACAGTGTCCCTGAAGTAAAGGTCCCAGTAGAGACAGCCTCAGCTTCACAGGAACCTGAAACACCAGTGGACAATATGGCTGCAGCAGAAGATCCAACAAAAGAAAAGGTTGAAGAAAAAGCTGAAAAACCCCAAACTGTGACATCCGAATCCACATTATCAGAAAATTGTGCAGAGTCAAAAGAGTTAGATTCAAAGGTTCAACCATCTGTGGTGGTGCTGGAAGAGGCTGTCAAGGCTGAGATGGGAAATGTGATTGAACTGAAGCACGAACCAGAACCTGTCAGAATCGATGCAGTGGCCAACGACGCTAAAGAAGCTGAACCGATGGAGCTTGTGGAAACAGGAGTTGACGTGGCAGAGCCCATGGAAGTAGAAAGTTGTGCTGAGGGCAAAGAAGAAAAACTGACAAATGTGGAGGCTGTTTTAGAAAAATCCAGTGAGAGTCAACTACCAGCCTGTAAAGATGAGACCGGACCTCCTACTGTTCCACCTCCAAACACAGAAGCAGATCCTAAACCTGCAGACACAAGTTCTCAGAAGCCTCAGCCCGACATGAAAACAGAAACAGCTGCTGAAGCGTCATCATTGGTACCAGAACCAGAGTCTGCAGAACCAGAGTCCACAGAACTGTCTGCAGCTTCCGGTCTGGGGACCACGATGGAGGCTTCACAACCCCCAAGCTCAACTGAAGAGGTGGAGAAAAGTACGATGGGAAAAGGTATGTTGAAGACTAGTTGGTGGAAGGATGGTGATTTGAAGAGAAGGCCTCTGGTAATATTTTACATAGAAAGACAAGAGCCCACGTTGTTTTAGTCCGTCAGTGTTTCCTGACGTCTCTTAAATAAAGTTATTAATGAACCATGAACAGTTAGCAGTTTTACAAAAAGGCCCTTTTGTCTAGTTCCTTCCGATATAAAGAAGTGACAGGTAATGTTAACGACCTGTTAAAATATCAATGTCTTCTCAGAAGATCCCGCGTCTGCCGTGAAGAACCAAATGGATCCAAAATCAGCCGAGGAGGCAACTGTTGTCGACAAAGTTTCAGCTGAGCCGACAGCTGGAGCAGTGATCAAACTACAACCGGCAGCACCGAGTGAACCCGCCACTGGTGAAGATGTCGCAGCAGAACCAACTTCCACTGCTGCAGGTGACGTAGCTGTGGAGGAGGACGATGAGGAAGTGGGAACTGAGATCGTCCCGGACTCCACTGTTGGGCCGCAGACAAATGAAGATGTAGAGAAAGTCGTAGAGAAGGAGGAGGTGTCAACAACAACTATGGATGCTCCTGCTGATGGAAACAGCGTCCCAGCTGATTCCAACACCAGCGCGGTCGCCTCTAAAGAAACCAGCACTGATCTTCCTCGGATTACCCAGGACGTATTCAGGGCCATCAAAGCAGCGGTTCGCCGGCACAGACTTACCCAAGAGATGCAGACGCAGAGCGAAGAGAACGAGGTGACGTCTGGCTTCAGATCTCACAAGAGAATAGAACAATGTTCCCCAGTCTCGTAGCTTAAGATTTTACTTCCAGAACCTCAGTTTTGAGCTCTAGAGTCCTGTAGGACACAGAGAAACCTGGGAAATAGATTTTTTAACCATGCATGACGTCATTTCTGACTTCAGGGCTTCACTGATCATATCATATCATAGACTTGCATTATACCTGTAAAATTCTGGAGATCATGGTGTCTTCATTTTTAATTTCCACTGTCACTCATCCAGAAAAACTGACTGTCTTCTTTTCAATAATTCTTTTCTAGAGCTCCAGCAACAGTAACATTAGTTCTTTAAGCGTCAAGGATGAAGCCACACACCAAGAAAAGGTAAGTGTCCCTTTTTCAATTCCTTTAAACGTCCTGTTCCGTAATTGAGACTTACTTTTATAAAAACATTACACAGTGACTGACCCTTGAAAATCCCCTTTTTCATTAGCCTTTGTTAAAATTTGATGGTTGTATCTATTTCAATGTTTGAGATTGTCTTTGTGCTTGATCCAGGGTCAGGATGATTTACACACCTCAGGCTCCTTCACTTTTGATGAGCCAAATTTCAACACCAGGGACTTTGTCACTGTTGATGAAATTGCTGATGATGTGGAAGAAATGAGCCCTGACCCCCGTAGCTCCTCGTCTTCCAAGCAGTCCTCCACAGCGATACAAGAAACACAAAGCTCAGACACTTCATCGGCTCCAAAACAAACCTCAACAAGATCCTTGAAAGACTCTAAGAGCTCCGCTTCCTCCTCATCCAAGTCAACCAAAGACTTCATGAAGAGAAGCTCGTCTGCTATGTCGACCTCTGTGTCTCCAGAAACGAGGGACTCATCTAAGATCAGCAAATCCCCAGCCTCATCCTCTCCGTCTTTTCTGTCTCTTGAAACCTCTCCCTCCGCTTGTCACAAAGCACAACAGAGCAAGACAAAATCCTCAAGTTGTGACGTCCGACCGTCCTCAGCTGCACGTGAAATGGTAAAGATGTTATCAGCAGCAGTGTCGGTAGAGCGTCTCCCCGTGTCACAGAGAGAAGCAGCAAAAGAGAGTGCAGTGGCAAAGACTGACCACAAAGTGTCAGCAGAGGGCATTGCTGCAAAAACTGTTGAGTCAGAGACAAAAATAGAAAAATCATCAGAGATGCATCCACCTGCACAGGGACAGAGATCAGGGTTGAGCCAAGACCAGAATCTGGAGACTGATTTAAAGGACACCTCACTCAAAGACCTGGAGACAGAGAAAAAGAAAGAAGAGGAGGAGGAGGATGATTGTGAAACTTACGAAATCCTTGATTCTTTCGATCACCTAACAAATGAATACATAGATGATTGGGATGAAGTAGGCAGCTCTGACACCAAGCCACCCGAACCTGAGAACGGACAGAGTTTGCAGGAGGAAAACTTTCAGGTCCTTGACAGTGTCAACGATGACGACGAAGCTCGTTCTGAGAGGAGCTGTGAGAAAGAGCTGGACACTTCTTTTCAAGTGGTAGACAGTGGTACTGAAGACAAAAGAGCAACACCTGAAGAGGAGAGTTACCTGGTGGCCGATGGCAGATCCACAGCAAAGCAGTTTTCTCAGGAAGGAATTCAAGTGGGCAACACATGTGATGACAAGCCGGCAATAGAAGACTCAACAATTAAACATAATGAAGATAGTGTCCAAGTGTTAGATACAGGTGTCAAACAAGCTGCAAGAGATGAAGAAGATGCAAACAGAAAAGAAAATGAAGAAGGGGAGGCCTTAGTTCTAATGACATCAGCAGAATCCTGCAAACCCTCCAAACAAGTCAAAAAACCTGATGCTCAAATCCCAAAAGATGAAGAGCAGCCTCTTAAAGTCTGTGACAACAAAGACAGTGAAGTTACTGAAGAAACCTTTCAGATATTGGATTCAACTGACGATCAGACGGCGATGGACCA